GGGTGCTTCAGCCCCACCACAGGGCCCCAGCTGCCAGGCCTTCACTCTGTTCCACACAGCCATCAAGCCTGGACATCAGCTCACATCCCGCTTGCTCAGAGCAACATGGGCTCCTCTGCCACATCTCCCAGAGCCTTTCCCAGGGCTGCAACTTCAGACTGCTCAACTGCTTATCTGTCATCCATCTCTTCCCATGAAATAAGAACAGAGCTGGGACTTCCCCATCTTGTCACCAATGTGTCCCCAAATAGATTCTCCCGCTTTTGAAATGTACTCAAATTCCAGAATGAATGAACATATGGGAGTACTTCAAAAAGATTCACTTTGGGGCCCATTGTGATGGTTTTAGTGACTCAATCTTCACCTTGTAAGCACCGGGATCCCATATGGGCACCAGTTCTAATCCTGGCAGCCCTGCTTCCCATCAGCTCCCTGCTTGTTGCCTAGAATAGTAGTAGAGGACAGCCCAAAACCTTGTGACCTTAAACCCACCTAAGAGATCTGGAACAGGCTCCTGGCTCCTGGCTCCTGGCTGGGTCAGCTCAGCTCTAACCACTGCAGCCATTTGGGGAGTGAACCAGTGGATGAAGAACTTTCTCCGTGTCTCTCCTAAAGTTTTACCTTGCCATAAAAAAGCTTGAATTCCTGTCATTTTTCCATAATAAATATTTCCATGAACAGTTTGAAGACCCTCCCCATTTGCATGGATTTGATATTTTCTCTGCATCCAAACTTCTACTTTCCACAAACTCTTTGAAGTACCCTTATTCACTCAGGACCGACCAGTATCTACCCAGAATCACTACCGGCCTACTTGAAACACACTAACTTTGACTTTACCAGCAAATGTTTCCTTTGGGAGCAAAAGTGTGGGGACTTGGCATCAGCCTTCAAATGGCTGCTTTTACCATGCCACCTGTTATCCACACAAGGACGAGTGTGCGTGAAGACGAATTACGACAGCAGAATGATCTCACAGAGGCTAATGGTGACATCATTGTGACAAAGCCCATAACAGCGGTCACATGGTGCCAGCAGTGTCTGGGCTGCTCTTGACCTACGTTCATGAAGCTGCAGCTTTTCAGCAATGACATGACTGGTGCAGAGGGAGGTGGTGGCCCACAAGACCTTCGGGGGGGCTGTGTCCTGTCGGCTGACTTCTCCTGCATGTCCACAGGCACATGTGTTGGACTGTACCCGTCTGAGGCTGCGTCCTCCCATAATTTATTATTCGTCATGAGGAAGCTAAATCAGGGTTGCCCTAGTAACCAGGTGGCTCCTCCGAGGGCTGTGAGTGGGTAATTGATGTTGGCTTGGTGACTGGGTGCTTCCAATGTCGAGACTGGGGTCCTGGTGATAAACGTAGCCACAGCCTCCAGAAGCAGCTCGGGTGGGCTTAGGAAGGGATGAGATTGGCACAAAATTAAGTCTCACCGGGTGCCCCAAAGCCCTAATAACAACAGAGGAAATAACTGGCTCATGAAAATAATCACTGCCTTTATTTAGCTCTAACAAATGGAATCTCAAACTCCTCACCAGGTTACGCCACTGACTACACTGTGCTGTGACACATATAAGGCTGCTGGAAGGATCCTGCTCACATCACACTGTCATCCAGCTAACATCTGAGGAGTCCCTGCTGGGGCCTCACAGTGGGGACACAGGATTGGAGGACCAGGACAGCAGCTTGGAGGGCTGGTTGCACTGGTAGGACATAGGCAGGGCCCCAGGACACAGTGATCTGCGTAGCAGGCAGGAGGTGGAGGACAGAATGGAACAGTGAGCAGGCAGCCTGGGCCCCTGCTTGGAGCCCCTACACCCCCACCTCCTTCCTGCAACTCCAGAGAGAGGGCTTGTGGGACCACAAAGATCCGAAACACATCTGTGAGAGCCAGAGGAGCCTGGAGCCAGCATAGGAGTGGCCAGAAGGTCAAAGAGAAGGGACAGCACCTGGAAGGTGAGGGGGTCCGAGATGAGGCTGCCCGGTAGCTGACATCAGCTCAGGGTCACCCACCAAGTGGGCCTGGGCCAACCAGAAGCACTCAGAACAGCAGGCACCTCACCTGCTTTCCCCATCCCCAGACGACACCTGGCAAGGGGGACGTGCTGGGACAGAAGCTGCAGACACTGACCCTGAACGCCTGGGCAGGGACAGCCCATTTCACCTCAGTGAGTGACACGCAGTCAAGGGGAGAGAGACAGGAAACCAAGAACCCTTTCCACAGTTCCAGGTCATGACAGAAATGTTTTAATCGCATCCCATGGAACGGAAAAGGCACAAATGACTCGTGGATAGTACAGGTGACATCTAGCAAGGAAAACAACTGAGATATTTGGAAAGCTGTGTCCCTAACTGTAGGGAGTCAGACACGAAGGAACAAATACCTTCTAAATCCACCTAAATGAGGAAGTCACAATAGGTAAATTCGCAGAGACCCAACGTAGAATGTTGGCTGAGGACAAGAGCATGGACAGCCAAGTTTCATAAGGCTCACTTTATTTGTTTGAACGGCAGAGTGCAACACACAGAGAGGAGAGAGATGGACTCTCCATCCCCTGGTTCAATCCCCAAATGGTCACAACAGCTGGGCCTTTGCCAGGGCAAAGCCAGAAGTAAAGGACCACCTGTAGGTCTCCTGTGTGAGTGGCAGAGACCCAAGCACTGGAGCCCCTGGCTGCTGCTTTCTCAGGCACATGAGCAGGGAGCTGGATGGCATGAGGAGCAGCTAGGACTTGAATCGGTGCTCATAGGGCATGTGGGAGTCACAGGTGACAGTCTAAGATGCTGCACCACAGCAGGGCTCCATCAGGCAGTATTCAATGGGGGAACCTCTGTCTGGGATGACGAGAAAGTTCAGGAAATGGATTGTGGTTAGCACTGCACCCAGTGCGAACGTGTTTACTGCACTGAACTGCACACCGACGCATGGTGAAAATAGTGTATGTTATGTTGGGCATTCTTCAGTTCAATCAAAGTAAGACAGGAAAAAGACCCACACCTTCGCAAGTGCACTGATACACACTGCTTGTTAGGGACAAAAAAAGAGGAAAATCCCCACATACAAATTCTCAGTGAGGTAACAGGCAAAATCCTGCATCCAAAGGAACATGTTGAAACGTATACCAATACTTACCAGTGGCAGGTGCTGGGCCTATCTGTAAAGACCTCACTTTAGGATGCTGACAATCCATATCAGACTGGGTTCAAGTGCTGGCTCCACTCTCCATTCCAGCACCCTACCAATTTGCACTCTGCGAGGCTGGAAGTATTCCAGTGCTCGAGTCCCTGCCCATCCACACGGGAGCCTAGGACTGACTTCCTGCATCCTGGCTTGTCCCGGCCCAGCCCTGGCTTTGCAGGCGATTGGAGAGTGAACCAGCAGACGAGTGATAATCATGTGTCCATCTCTTCTCATTTTCAAGCAAATAGAAAATATTTATGAAAGAATATTATGAACTATTTTAAGTTTGTGGCTTAAAAACAGATTCAAGGGCCTGGTATGGTAGCTTAGTGGCTAAAGCCCTTGCCTTGCATGCGCTGGGATCTCCTACGAGCACCTGCTCATTTTCCAGCTACCCTGTTTCCCATCCAGATCCCTGCTTGTGGTCTGGGAAAGCAGTCAAGCGAGCTCAAAGCCCTGGGACCCTGCACGTGTGTAGGAGACCTGGAAGAAGCTCCTGGCTCCTGGCTTTGGATTGGCTCAGCATCGGGTGTTGTGGTCACCCGGAGAGTGAATCAGCGGACAGAAGATCTTCCTCTCCGTCTCTCCTTCTCTCTGTATACCTGTCTCTCCAATGAAAATAAAATCCTAAAGAAAAAACTGATTCAAAGCCCAAGTAATTACAAATCTGAAAAAGAAAGAAAAAATGAACACTGCCAGATGCTTATATCCTTAAATACCAGAAGTCTCCAGTTTAACTGGTGAATTTTTCAGAATGCTACTGAATAAATGGATCCTAGAATTTTTTTGCCTTCACCAATCACTTTTTTAAAAGGGAAGCTTCTCAATTTTCCAAATAATAACTCATTCTGTTATAGGCCGTGAACTGTTATATTCCCTGGTTTATTTCCCTTTTCATGCTGTGTGATGTCTGCATGGTTTATTTATATTGTCTTTTCACCCTCCCCATCCTTAGTGCGAAGTTTCCGGCCATCCTCTAGCTTTGCATTGCTGTGAGCACGATGAGGAAGCTAAGCAACACATCTTTAAAGCATCTTTGGCTCACTCTTCAAAGAAATGTGTTTTCAAAACTGAGAGACTCGAAAAATAAAAATGCAACCTATCAAAAGTCGTGGGATATAATCAAACTAACACTGAAAGGGAAATTTATAGTCCTAGCAGAAGAAGCAAGCAAAGCCCTCGAATGAATGACTGGTTTCTTTCCTGAAGAAAGAGATACAGAGGACAATCAACCAAAGCAAGCAGGCAGAAGAAAGGAAATAATCGAGATAAGAGCAGAATCCATCAAATGAGAGGCAGAAAAACAGCTGAGATGAAAAAGGATCCGAGGCGCTCACGGTCTGCTCAATAAAATTGATAAACTTCCAGCAAGGAACAAGGCTAGGAACAAAGGCAAGGTGCCAACAACTGGAACAAAATCAGGGTTAACCACAGACTTACAGACACCGAAAAGTATTAAAAAGGCAGTAGTACCCCTTCCCACCAACACAGTCGGTGGCTTAGGTGAAGTGCCATCAGTGATTTTTGAAAACCACAAATGACCACACGCTACACATTTGAATCTCCTTAGAACTATTGAAGAGTTTAATGCCATAATTTTAAAATTCTCAAAAACAACAGTTCTAGGCCCAGAAAGTTACATTAGGGAATTCTAACAAGTGTTTAAAGAAGAATTGACATTAATCCCATTAAATTGCTTCCAGAAAGGGAGAGAAACTTCTTAACACATTTTATAAATTTAGTATTATCCTGACCAAAACCAAATCAGGCAAAAACAGGAAAGAGACTAATCTCTGATGAACTTGTATACAAAAAAATAACCAATAAAAATACTATAAATCAAATACAACAGCAATCAGATGATATACCATGACCAAGTGATATTTCTTTCCCTCATGTATGCATAAATGTACCATCTGAAAATCAATCGGTATAACCAACCATATCAGCAAGATAAAAATGAAAAATTATAGGATCATAGCAACAAAGAAAATTGACAAATCCTATATCCACTTTTTACATAAGAAATCTCAGTGAATCAGGAATAAAACATAATCAAATTTTAAAATATATATTACTTCCCTCTTGGGTTACCACTCCCACTGGAGAGCATGAAAACTAGGATTGGGGCAGGGGTGGCTAGACAGAACAGCACCCATCCGTATCCGTGTAGGCAGGATAATAGGGCAGGTTGGGTTGAACTAGGCTTCAATGCCCATTGACATGTACGAGAGCTAAATGGGATGTGGGACAGACTGAACAAGTCTGCGGTACATACTGGCAAGCATGGGAACCAGGGTAGGGGGCAGGCCTGATGAGGGTTATGGGGAGTCGTCCCAACTAGGTTGCAGCTCCCACTGGTTTATGTGAGGGCCGAGTGCGTGCTGGGCAGGATCAAGCTGGACTGCAACACCCATTGGTTCGTAAGGAAGACAGGTCTGGAAACAGAACTGACCCAGCAATTGGAACCACCAGTATGAGCATAAGCTGTGGCGATGGACTGTGCCGGGCCCGTATGTACTGGCAAGCACACACAAGAATCAGGTCTGAGGATCACCCCAGATGAAGTTTCTCTGGGGATCCCTCCAACTGAACTGCTGATCTCAGAACCCCCAGCATGAAGAGACTATGTCAGCCAGTGGATTCTGAAGAGATTTCATTGTGCTTGGAGCGGTGAGATGGCAGCAATTCAGACTGTTGAACTCTCAAAACTGCTCGACTGTCGGCTTTAGCACCATTTTTGTGGACACCTCCGCGCCTTGAGCCAAGCGGAGGAAGAAGCAGATGTGCAGGCTGAAGCTCAAGCGAAGGAAGATGTGACAGAGGTCCAAGTAAATGGTTGTTGCAGGAGGGAGCTGGGCCAGGTGCCGCACCACTACCCACTCGCCCCGGAGGGTTCGCCCAGTGGGCCCGAGAACCACAGGCACCCCTGCCCCACATGTGGCCTGTGTCCCCGCCCTGGCCCAGTGTAGCGTGCGTACAGTAAAGCCTCCCCAGCCACTGTGTCCGTGGGAGAATCAAACCACAAAACAAAAAAAACAAAACTACTTGAGCAGGATCCTTGGAGCATGCCCCCACATTAGGGTCCTGGGACGGGTGGGAGGCTGGGTGGGGCTTCTCCCTTACTCTCTCCCCTTTCCCCAGATACAGAAAAAATAATAATAATATTAATGTGGAAACAATGGTCTTACCCACTTTCCTGTAGCCCTTGACCCTTTGTGCCCTAATCAACTATGTAAATATTATCAAAATAGATATATACATAAGAAAAAATAAAATACATATTGTCATGTATTGCACATATTTTGAGACATCTTGTAAACTTACGCAATGCAGCTGAATGTCTCCATGTTTCCCGCAGAGTCTGTGTGTGCAGGCACTTCAACGCACACACCTACACCCAAACGCACCTGCCCCCACAGCCAATACCACAGTGCTGGTGGGAGCACGGATCTCCATGCCTATCCTAGTTATCTGTCGCAGAACTGGAAGCCCTAATCAGCACAGTAAGTCAAAAAACAAAGAAATTCAGCCTGGAAGCGAAGAAATAAAATTGCTTCTTTTTCCAGACGTCATGACTGAATATGCGGAGCAAGGCATTCGGAACACTCCTGGAACCAACCAATGACTCCATCAATAAACAACCCAGTGTCACTTCCACACAGTAACACTGTGCAGACACTGAAATTCATCTCTCACACTGCAAAGAGATGCTTAAGTTACCTTTAACAAAACTGCATAAGCTCTGTATCCTGAAAATTACTCGGTGCTCCGGAAATACATCCAAGATGGCGTGGATAAATGGAGACACACATCAAGTTCAGTGGCTGGAAGGTTCAGTGTAGAAAGATGCCAGTGTGCTCCAAATTGCTCTATAGGTATTAAGAGGGAAACATTCTAAAATTTACGTAAAGATGTAGTCCATGGGATAGCTAAAAAAAAAAAAATCTTGACAAAAAACATAACTCAGTGGGAGAAATTATACAACCCAATATTAAATTCTACATGTGGGGCCTGATAAAATGGTTTTGTGGCTAAATCCTCACCTTCACCCTGGGGATCCCTATGAGTGCTAATTCCTGTCCCGGCTGCTCCACTTCCCATCCTGCTCCCTGCTTGTGGCCTGGGAAAGCAGTTGAGGACGACCCAAAGCCTTGGGACTCTGCACGCAGAAGAAGCTCCTGGTTCCTGCCTTCGGATTGGCTCAGCTGTGGCTGTTGCGGCCATGTGGGGAGCGAACCAGTGGATGGAAGATCTTTTTCTCTGTAAATCTACCTTTCTAATAAAAATCAATAAATCTTAAAAAAAAAAAGTCCTCAGTCATAATTACAACAACTGAGATGGTATGGCACTATTAGGAAGACAGAAACAAATAGACTGAGTGGGTTTTCCACAAGGAGGAAAAGCAACAGAACAGAGGAAGCAGAAACTTGCTGGTAAATATTCAAGCAAGCAATGAAATTCAGCTTCACTCTTTGGCCTCACACAAATTGATTTAAAGGAGACTTAGGTGCAAAACATAAAACGCAGGAGAAAAATCACCAGGTTCTAGTAGCAGACATCTGGCTTTTCAGATTTGGCACCTAAATTATCCATAGAAGGGGAAAATCAACAGAGCTCATCACAATGAAATCTTCCTTGCTTCCAAAATCCAACTGAGGAGTAAATGCGTTTGAGTAATTTCATAGGTACTATATGGTGAGGACTCAATGTCATTCATTTGTATGGATTCCCAGCACCATTTATTGAACAGAATACCTTGAGTTTTGAACGAGGTGTGGATGTTTGGGTTTATTTTGAAGGACCATAATTCCATCATTGTTCATGACAGTCTGTCCTATGCCTGTGTTGTTCTGTATTGATTTTGTCGCTTTGTAGTAAGTCTTGAAATGGGAATGCATTAAGTCCTGCTACTAACATTTTGTTCTTTACAAAGAAAAGGATACATGGTGATGGTGGTGGGGGAGAACCCTTCATCACCCTTGTCTTGGTTCACTCTCCAAACACCCGTCAAGGCTTTGGCTGGGCCCTGGTTAATTCGAGAGTCAAGATTAATAATCCACATGGAAGGTAAACCTCCACCTGGGTGACAGGAACCCAGCCCCTACAGCCATCACTCCACCTCCTCTGCTTACACAGGAAGCCGAACTCAAGAACTGGAGCAAAGACACAAAGCCAGGCACAGTGGTGTGAGAAGCAGGCTTCTAAAGAGCTATGTCAGCTCCTTCCATCATCTTTGGAATCAGCTTGTTGGTTACAAATACCTCAGCTGTGATTCTAATGGGGACACCACAGAACCTTCAGCAGTTTAGAACAGTTTCACTCTTAAATATGCTAAGTGTTTCCATCCACAGACCTAGGAGGTTTCCCTCATTGTCAACAGCTTTGAGTGCTCTCAAAAAATGTTTCATAGTTTGTCGCATGTAAGTTTTTGCATTTCTTTTGTTGAATTTATTCCTAAGTATTTTTGGCTTTGAAGATGTAGCTAGTGGAGTGACTTTCCCAATGTCATTGCTGGTTGTTTGGCATAAATATATAGCAATCTAACTGACTTTGTTCATACTCAGTCCTTCAATTTTGCTGAATTTTTTTGTAAATTCTATTAATTTTTAGTGGAACCTTTATTGGTTTTTTTCTACACAAGACAATCTTATCTATGATTTGTGGTAATTTTTCCTTTTCCATTCTAATCTGTTTTCTGCTTTTATCTAACTTGCAGGTTGTAGTGCAATGTGAATAGAAATGATAAGAGCTGATCCAACCCAATGTCCAATGGATGTTAAGTACGGGCAAGCTTACAGCACTACTCAAGTCTTCTGTTTCCTTACTGATGTTTGGTTGCTGCATTATTTGAGCGTGGTGTTGAACTGCTCCTGCCATTCCTGTTGAATTCTTTCTCCTCACTGACAACAGTTTGGTTCATGCATCTTAGGGCTGGAAGAGTACATACATGTTTCTAACTGTTCCATATTTCTGCTGGGCTGTTTCATCATGTTAAAATGTCACTCCTTTAATTTTGTTTTGATTTGCTGTTTCTTGAAAAATTTACTTATTATCAAGATGGCAAAGAAATCCCTTGTTGCATCGGTGGAGTGTCGGCTTCAGTGTTGGCTGCTGGTTTTACTGATGACGACCAGTAAATGAGTAAGAGAGCTTTGCTCATTAAATGAGCTAATTTTTTTCTAAATCATACAAGTGCTATGGACAATGGCAGGCTATGTCTTCAAATCTCTTTGCGTTAAATACAGTGTAAATGTTAAAGCTATACTACACCTTTTTTATGGTTAATTTGCATCACTATTGTTTGTGCCCACTACTTTCTTGAATCATCTTAGAAACTGGAAAGTTCTATTTCAGGGTTACATCCAGGCCTGCTGTCTAATTCATAAACCTTCATTGGAACACACTGCTTGCTGTTTGCTTATTGTACATGTTTGTTTATTGTTCACGATTGTCTTTGTGCTGCATGTGATGTTTGAAACATTTGCTTTCAGATGCTTTCCATAAAAGTCTATTCTTGCTCCAGATTAGTGAGCACAAATCCAGAGCTGATTCGTAGTGCCTGCTGATTTCATGTGCCTTACCCAACGGAAAGTAACACTACAGTGCTCAATGACATCAGAGCATGCCAAGGCCATCTGATATTCTTTCTGGATTGAACCATAAATGCTTGCCACTTTAAAATTATGATCAAGAAACTACAACACACAGATGCTTAGATTTAACACAGAGATGCTTAGATCCGAGACAGGAAAACCAGTGTTTCCACCTGATCATGGAAGCAGAGTCTGCAGAAGACACACAAGGTGCACGGGATACTATCTTTTTGCCA